GTACATTAAAAACAAAAATGGCGCGAAGAATCTACTGTAATAATGTAGAAAGATAGATAGATCGATAGATAGATAGATAGATAGATAGATAGATAGATAGATAGACATTAAATTTTTAACCATGCAAAAGAAAACGTCAAAGTTGTAAAATATCAGGTTTCTATGTAAAATACAAAACAAAGTATCACCTAAAATATTCATATTATTATTATTATTATTATTATTAAAAATAAAAATAAAAACTTTTCAGACTCATGTCTCTCAGCGCTGATTCTTTTAGTTTCATGCAATTTTGAATCAAAAATCTGCTAAAAGGAACATACGAAATACTTTCGGAAACATTTACTTCTTGCCGCCTTTGTGCTCAGGAAGACAAATATCGTTATACTTATCCTGCATTATACGATAAATTTTAAACGAAAATTAAACACAAATAGTAGGGGCGTTTTGTACATAAGTACACTCCACTTTTTTTAAAAACAAATAATTGTTATTGAAAACAAGAAGATTGCAGACACACTCAGCACAAAGATATTCGAAAATAAGTTTTGAAATAGAAATTAGAAGAAACAGTTAATGTCGCTATCTGGTTCATTTCCATTCTTTAATGTCGTGAGAAATATTTTAGTGGACTATATGTACGAGTTTGAGATTTAAAGGGAGAATATGGTGCAACTGCCCCCAAAAAAATTACGTAGAAATGGCTGTACTACGGCGTCATAGGATGTAATTTCTTTCCTGTTTTTAGCTTCAGGTTGTATTATACACAAGTCGTAGGATAGAAAAGAAAATACGGTACACACATAAATACATAGAATACATAAATACATATAGACAGAATACATAAATACATAGAATACATATTCATACATATCATACATACATATCATATGTATAATACATAAATACACATAGAATACATAAATACACAGAATAGGCGTTTCACGAAGGGCCATCTGATCCACTGTGAAGACTGAACCTTGCTTTCAGGTTCATAGCCTTAGACCCACGAATTAAGTCACCTGCTATGATTGTTTTCAAGAAGTTTTTAATGACGCGGTGGGAAGACCACACTCTACATACTTTCCTCCCAAGCACTGCTAAAAACAATGGAAGTGAGCGAGAAGGTCCATGCACGACATAGCAAATGGTTAGTCTGTGCCGAGCGTAATTTAACTCCTTTACCATAGTAATAGCCCCAGTACCTTTTGATCAGACCTCGTATATCGAAAAGCTGTTTTATTTTATAGTGTATCGAAAAAGTGACGAATTTTTGTTTTCCTAGTTAAATACGAATAACTATGGATAAACACATGTGTTGTATATTCCTTTAAATGTTCTGATATTGATCAATTTTCTACTGCAACCAAGAAATGAATTCGTGGACTTGAAAAAGATTCTGTTTATTATTTTCATCTACCGGCTAGATTATACTAAGTCCATTTCACTTTAACAATTAAATACGTATAACACGAAAATTTCGTGGATTTATAACTTTTCAAAATTCAAACAAAATCCCTATTTGATCAATTTGAACAAGAACTCTATGTCGCAGCATCCCACGCGCCAAAACATATATTCAACTGTCAATAAATAGCATAATTTAAAATAACATCTGTCGGGCTACACATATTTCATCTTAGTGTTTACCTGTGTATGGGAAAATTGGTCCCTGAAGATGACAATTTGAAATTGTCGAAAGTACTTGGCATGTGTGCTCCATCAGACAATAAATAGAAATATTACGTCTAAATAATTAAACAAGATATGATATATATAACATGATGGTATATATATATATATATATATATATATATATATATATATATATATATATATATATGTGTGTGTGTGTGAAAAGTGAATATAAATATAAATAAATATATATATATGTATAATTATTTATATATTATATGCGCGGTACTTATTAGAAAGCGCTCAATATCAGAGATAGAGCTAACATATTTGGTTGGATAGATGTGAGTTTGTGATCGTCAGACAATGTCTGACGATCGTCGAAAGCGTGAAACCCAGGGTCACAAACTCACATCTATCCAACCAAATATATATATATATATATATATATATATATATATATATATATTTCATTAAAATGATTCATAAGATAGTACGGTTAAGATAATTTAAGTTTATTTCAATTTTATTGTTTTACAATTTTTAAATGATTTTATTTTGACTTTAACTGAATATATGTATTTTTTAGGTACGTATCTAGAGTTATAAGAATGTTTTGTTTTCAAAACACGGCCAGCACATTGTAGCCGTATTCGTAGTTGATGTTACTGAGTGTTGATGTTTTTTTTTTTTTATTAATAATGCTTCCATTATTATTGGCTTTTTTACATGTGGATTAGACTATTATATCAAATTTGTATGTTACAAATATAAGAGACTCATCCCCATGTATGTATGTGTGTATATACATTTGTATATTTACGCAGCAAATCTTCTTTTAGACATGTCTGACTGAATATATTACAAATATTATGTCTACCTATTTTTATCATAATCTTTTTATATTCGCGAATATTTTTGCCCTGATGATGATCTCAGAAAGAGATGGAAAGTACTTGGTAAATAAAAGTGATTCGCTCTGTTGCCTTATTTATTGCAATATACGGAAAAATGTTCGTGAATATGAATGCATTATGATAAAAAAGCAGACATGATGTTTGTAATTTATTCACACAGACATGTGTATATATATATATATATGTGTGCGTGTATGTGTATGTGCGTGTAGATAGACAGATATACACATAGATAGACAGAGAAAAAAAGACTGAGAGAGTTAAAGGGCGAGAGACAAAGAAAAGTGAATGTAAGAAGAGAAGAATTTAGAAAGTTATAGCATTCGTATTGAATACGTAACTACCAAATCTTCCATCTGTCGTGACTTTTTATTTTTTTATTTGAATATTTTCCTATTCCCTTTTATTATATCCTTTCACTGTTTGTCTACTGCGTCCAAGAAAAAAAATCATTGCCCCGCACAATTACAGGCAAATCTAATCTCTATCAAACATTACTCACTTGCTTTTCCTTTCTCTTTCTATCGTTTCTCTTTCTTTCATTCTTAATCTCTTACTTTGTCCTCATCCCAAAATCTATCTATCTATCTATCTATCTATCTATCTATCTATCTATCTATCTATCTATCTATCTAATCTCAATTGTGTCATATCTATCTATCTATCTATCTATCTATCTATCTATCTATCTATCTATCTAATCTTAATTGTTTCATATCTATCTATCTATCTATCTATCTATCTATCTATCTATCTACCTACCTACATATCTAATATCAATTGTTTCTTATCTATCTAATCTCAATTTTTTCATATCTATCTATCTATCTATCTAATCTCAATTGTTTCATATCTATCTAATCTCTATTGTTTCATATCTATCTATCTAACCTCAATTGTTTCATATCTATCTATCTATCTATCTAACCTCAATTGTTTCATATCTATCTATCTATCTATCTATCTATCTATCTAATCTCAATTGTTTCATATCTATATCTATCTATCTATCTAATCTCAATTGTTTCATATCTATCTATCTATCGAATCTCAATTGTTTCAGTTCTATCTATCTAATCTCAATTGTTTCATATCTATCTATCTATCTATCTATCTATCTATCTCAGCCTGCAATTAAATCTTATTAGCGAAGTTATTTCGCCATTAATCACATTAACATTGCTATTTAATTCTTTGTATAAATTGTTTCTTTATGATATATGATATAAATTGCACATTAATATATTTACGATATCACATCCGAAACGCAGTAATAAACAGAATCTTAAGTTCTGTGGAAAACTAATAAGACATTTTTACTCTAGCAGCTAGATTATACTAAGTCCATTTCACTTTAACAATTAAATTGTGTTTACCTGTGTATGGGAAAATTGGTCCCTGAAGATGACAATTTGAAATTGTCGAAAGTACTTGGCATGTGTGTTCCATCAGACAATAACTCGAATTTAAGGATGTTATTATTCAAGGAATTGATATTAAGTTAATGTCTCATTAAGTCTTGCTAGAGAAGTGATTTTGCCATTAATCTTATTAACAATGCTGTTTATTTCTTTGTATAAATGTTTTCTTTATAATATAAAATATAAGCCGCACACTCTAACATATATATATATATATATATATATAGATAGATAGATAGATAGATAGATAGATATGCGTGTGTGTGTGTGTGTATGTGTGTAAATTTGTAGCCTCTTTATGTCTGTTTATTTGTTATCGAACTCCTCCTAGGATTTTGATGATACCCCCACATAACGATATATATTGGGATACTACATTACCCAGGCTACTTGGATTAGTATATTTTGATCAGAAGGGATCCCTACGGAACACAAACGCCCCATTGAATTTTCTTTTTCACTTTGATTTCATTTAAATTTAAATTTTGAACACTGGAACAAATCCTATCCAAAATATAGAAGGTGAAAGCCAGAAGATTGAGGTCACATTGGCAAGATTCATCGAGTAATATTGAAATGCACCATTTTTCTCTACAAATTATAACAATAACTTAAAATCATTCACCATTTTCTAACAACAAAAAATGTGTGACACAGAGCAAGGCGCGGGAATTCGGCTAATATATATATATAAATATATATATATAAGCGATAGAAATTAGGAGGATTTGAGATAATTATAATTAAGTAATTCATCGAGTCTAGAAGAAACATCAACAGAACGCGGAAAGCACTGGTCGTCCGTTTCGTCCTATATTTGAGACTCATCAGCAGTGCGCATCCACTACCGAGAATTGAAACCCGGACAGGTACATTATCAGGCAAACGTCATACCAACTGTAGCAACGAAGAGGTAGCGAATTAGACTCTATATAGCGCCGCTCGATCACATATTCCATGGCGGAACTCATCCGAGTTTCTCTTTTACCCATAGGACTGTGCCCCCACAAGCCACGGCTACTATCCCAAGGCCACCCAGAGCATTAGAAGCCGGTTCAAGCAAGGACATACAAGTGATAGAAATTAGGAGGATTTGATATAATTATAATTATATATTTGTGTGTGTGTGCATGCGTGTCTGCTCGCGTGT